AAACAAATGCAAAAGCATCCCTATGACTCCAAGGGTTACACACACACACATTCAACGCGCGCGGACACTCTTTGACACTTCCACGGAAGTGGGGCAACCTCCTTGCACTTCCATGTTCCATGCCCTCCTGTGTCATGACAGTGCCATCCTGTTCTGTGCCCTCCTCCGTGGCGGGAAGAGAAGATCCAGCGAAACTCACCATGGCCACCGAGGAAGATCAAACTCATGGTGGCCACGGAGGAGTTGGCGGAGCTCTTTCTGCGCCGTTCCCAGGTGAAGCACTTGCGCACCCTGAAGAGCCGCCCGATGCAGGAAGGCATGGGGTTTGGCGGGAGGCAGGGCCAGGCAGGGGGCTTCTGATGTTGTTTCGTAATGTTTTCTTTTCAAGTTCAGTGAGATCCCTTATGGGTCAAGTGTGTTGAGTCATTGGAAGCACCACACAGTGCCACGTTCTCTCACACTGTGGTGGAATATTGTTTATATATATATATAAGAAGTTTATACATATATATATATATAAGAAGTTTTAAGGCTTTCTTCGTATGTTTGCGGCTGGGAAGAGATGATGAGAGATGATGCCCACCGTAAGAGATGGTGAGAGACGAACGGCACAGCAATCGGGTCGAGGCGGGAAGCCTCTGAGGTGATTTGAATGAAGAGGCCCGAAAGCACCAGCTCATGCTGGTGGCCAGCGTGGCGGGAGATGAAGCCGAACAGGAAGATATCAATGAGATCAACAAGGACCCGACGTCTTGCTTGTTGATGCTTCCCTGAGAAATACACACGAGACAGACCCGCTCGCAGGGCAGGAAGTAGCCTTCCCAGAAATCATGAAGACCACTTCCATGAGCCGGAGTGTAGATGGTGCCCCCCATGCTGTGTAGAGTGGCGGTCAGACAGGCAGCCAATGGCCGCCAAACGGAGAATTTAACATATAGAGTCGTCCAAGACAAATGTACAACAAGTATCAACAAGTTGCGACCCTCCTTCAAGCCTCCAAAGTTGCATCTCTTGTCACTTGTCACTGACGTTGGAACTGGATTCACTGGATAAATACTTTTCCACACTGCCATGGCTTGGCCCCCAAAAGCAATGCCATCCTCAAGAATGTATGCTCTGTATGTATGTAATGTAGTATAATCTAAGGCAAACTTAGTTATAGTGAGTTTGGACTCCCTGAACATACAACAGATCCACAACTCCTGTCTCATGTGTTTACAGCTGCTGTACACCATGTGGTTGTGTGCAAGTCCCATCTTAGCCGTTTGTCACGCTGTCTTGGCCTAGATTATGTAAATGCATTTCACTGCGCTGCATGTATGTAAGTGTGTATGTATATTTGCTGTCATGTAATCTGATGTGATGTAAGGTGCTGTGATGTGATGTCCTGTCAAAATCACTGATGCTCTAAATCACTGATGCTTTAAGAAGAATCACGGAACAAGAACAAGCGGTAGAAACTCCAAAATAAATCTATACAAGACTGGGGGGTTGTGAAGAAGGCGCTCGCTCCAAACTCCAAAACAACTGGTGGTGACCCGAGAGGACCGACTTGACCCACTGTGCGTGTAATCTATACTATGTGGCATTTCTGACGTCCAGGATGCTGAGAAATCCATCGAGCGATATACCAAGCTCTACGAGCGCGATGCCACACAGGACTTGTCCTCAAAAGCTTTGAGAGTGAAGGCCTTGAGAGGAGGTTCCACACGTCTTTGGCTTGGAAATGTTACAGTCCCAGAGTCTTGGGCAACTCGTCAGGGAATCACAAGTTGTGATCCACAGGAAGGTAGCAAATGGCAAAGAGAATCCTTTGCCACACATATATACATCATAACATATATATATATATATACCATTTTGCCATTTGCTTGTGGCTCTCCGTGTTGGGGCTAACCCCAACGCAAGCCTTTATACATTATATACCTTTATATACATAGGCGCGCGCCGGCGGTCGAGGACTGCGAGCCCAGCCACCGACTGGAGCCGTTGAGTGCATCGGAGCGGCGAGATATGCAGGTGCTGGAGGCAGGTCCGGTCTGTTGGTTCGGAAGGTCGCAGGTCGGCGATCTCCATTCGCTCGGTCGGCTAGGGTGAGTGTTCGTTCGTCCTCCAAACTGAAGATGGATTAAGAGTTTGATTCAGATCGCACAAGGGAAAACGGCACAACATCCACTGGGGCAGATTTCATGACGCAGAAATTCAACATCTCCTCGTGGCTTAGGGGTTCAAATCCGATGTCTCTGGCACAAAGGCTTGCCATGAGTAGCAATTCTTTCTTCAAAGCATGTATCACTTCTTCATGGAGACTGAGCAGGGGCAGCAGCTTCTACGTGCTCTTGGGGCGCCAGAGGATGAGGCGAAAAGTTCCAAAGACACGGCACCTGTTCCGCCTGACGAGCCCTTGCCAGAAACCAGGATGCGCCCCCGGCGTGCTCGTGCTACCGACCCCTCCCGAGATGTTGTAACAGAGGCTCAGGCAGAAGCTGCGCCGCCATTCTCACGCCTCTCGGTGGGCGAATGTGAGCATCTGGATGCCACTTTGAGGTCGCAACGCCAAGCAACTGTTGAGATGCAGGGTGCCTTAGATGCCTTTCGCAAGGACCGGCGAAGACAAGCCCAAGCGGAGGATCCTTTGGAGCTTTTAGAATGGAAGTTGCCCAAGGACGATGCCCCCACTCGGCCCGAAGTCCGTGCGGTGCTTGAGATCAAGCGTTCAAGAAAGGAGTCCACTCTCCGTCCGACCTCGGCACCGCTTTCAGCGAAGACGTCCCAGATTCTGGCCCAGTACGACGAGAGCGGTTCTGAAGACGAAAAAGGATCGAAGAAAAGCGCGCAGTGCAGCCTGGCACTCTTTTTCTCTCTCCGCGCCCAGTCGCAAGTTGTTCTTGGTCAAGTGAGTTGAAGAAGTTGTTTTCATTTTCCCAGGCCAATCATGCTCGTTTGATCTCGTTTGTTCTGGCACGCCACCTTGGTGTGCGTGACAACGTAACTAACCCCATGATACCCACATGCAGCATCATGCAGCGTGGTTCTGCTAGTTAAGGTCTATGTATGGGGACCAGGAGTTTTCCCGATCTGCCTCAGCCCCTTTGGACATTTCTGGTGGCTCGCTTGCTGCCGCCCATAGTCCGCCAGGCTGTGCTCTCAGCCCGCTTGTTGGCACGAGCGCGGTACAAGGTTGAGCGACGGACAGAGGCACAGATCCGTGTGGGGGTTATATAGCAGTCCTGGGCACGGAGTACATTTGAATGCATTCGGCCCTACAAATAGGTGGTGTTCCATTTCCACTTCCACCATCTTCCACCACTATTTCCGAAGGGGGCATATAAAGATATTAATTATTATTGGTCTGTGTGGCTACTTGTCAACCTCTTGGAGCCCTGGATCTCGCTCGCAACCGTCGGGACACGTATGGGAAAAGCAGAATAGGCAGCATACGGATACGTGCCACATTTGGGGGTGTCCCCCTGCCAACTCCACACACCGCCGTGTTTGGCACCCAACTCGGCCAGTTTTCCTGCATGCCGTGGCGCGTTGACCACGCCATCCGTGAACACGCATTGACCGTGCAAAAGAGGTGCTGAATGAAGAGGTGGCCCGGCGCAAAAAGGAACTGGAGATGGAGCGCGTGGCCAAGCGATCGGCCAACTCTGGCTTCTTCAGCCGCTTTTGGGGGTCTTCAGAGGTCGAGGAGCGGAACAAATGGGACCGCGAAACCGGTGGGGTATGCGTCGGTTCATGTGCAGGCACATCCAGGATCCAGGCACCCTGGAACTGTTTTCTGAAATTGTTTGCTTATGACTTGAGTATTCTTGCTTGATAAGTGAGACATATACCTGGATCTTCCAACTATGCCAAGTTTCTGCCTTTTGGCTGAATTTATGGATGAAACGGCAGAAATTTGTCACAGTTGGACGATCCAGGTATAATCATGATATATAATTTTGTTGCTCAGGATGAGTCTGTGGCATGTGGCTAAAGTACTTCCGGGATCTTCCGAGCAGCCCCTCGTTCTTGAGAACCTGAATGAATTTGATCCAAGATAGCTTGGCAGGAGGATGCAGCACCTGAAGGTGAGCTGCTGTCCAGTGAGGAGAAGAGCCAGCTCCTGAATGAGTTGAAGGATGTCAGCAAGGCCAGGTGGAATCAAAACTTGTCAGCCAATCTTCAGTAAACCTTTGGCTTGCATTACTTCTTGCATTTGTGTGTTTTCCGCCGGATTCGTTGGTCAACCCAAGGCTAGCCTTATCACGAAAGCTAGCGAAGCTAGCTGGAGTTACTCTTGCGATAGCAAGGTTTCTTTCGACCGGGTGCAAATCCTAACCCCTGATTTTTCAGGTCGAAGACCCCCCCCCC